ATTCATTTTCTAGGTAATAATGACGATTATAATAATTGTTTTAAAAATTAGCGCGTATAAATCATCAAAAAATATTATTTTTCTGTTTTTATGCTCTTGGAACTTTTCTGCTCTTAGACCATTTTGCTTTTTGCTCCGCCTCCGAGCAAAATCTATCACTTTGTATTTAATATGGCGTGTGTGTGGATGTTTTTCACAAAAAAAATTCAAATTAAAAAAAATTAGTTTTAGTTCATTATATTTAATTTTTTCGTGTTATTGCTGCTCCATAGACCTTAAAAGGCTGTTCGAACTTTCAGGGCTCTGCCCTGAGCCAAGCAGTGTTGATTGCTAATTACGCTTAAATAAGCACGAAATTTCACGTTAGTAAACAGAAGTTCGCGAAATTATCAATGTTCAAAACCCCATACTCCTAGAAAAAAGAATAGTCACAGATATAATTATCTTTTTAAAATTGCAGTCACTGGATCAGTGCCTTTTTGAATAATTTAAAAAACTTGACAAAAATTTTAGTTAAAAGGTGAAAAATTGTCTAGTTACACATTGAAATCTTGGACAAAAAAAGCCCCGAGCACAAATAGTTTGTTCTTCGGAGCAATAATGGCCAATGTCGTGGGTGCTGGACATCAAGCTGGGTGCCGGACATCAAGCTGACGGGATTTGAAGCCGAATTGTAAAATTAGGGATTTGGAGCCAAACATTTTCACATTAAGTCATGAAAAATGATTAATTTGAAATTTTTTTTGAAGAATTTCTCATTTTCATGATCTTTCTTCAGTAGTTATTGGCGTTTTCAAAAAGCTTAAGCCTCTGAATGATGTTAAGGAAAGTTGAAAAGTAAAACAGGGCTGAGGGCGACTTTCTTGTTTATAACCTATGCTTTTCAAAAACCGGCTGATTTTATTGACGGATGCCAATCCCAAGTGATTCATTGCCATGACTAAAGCTTATTATGAGCTAAACTTGCCTAAAATTTTGAAAAGCAACTTTTTACAGATGAAAAAATAGTGATTTGAGGTGCTTGTAAAGTTTAAATTTCGGCCTGAAGTCCCTTCGATCTGAAGTTCCGTCGGCTTGTTGTCCTAGACCCAGTGTTTCTCAGCAGTCAGACAAATTCCCTTGCTACCTGAATTTTTTTTTGCTAACTCATTAATTAGGGTTGCGATCCCTCATGATGGAGGGACCGAACTTTATTTTCAGTTGTTTTTAGTCATAAGAATTGAGTATTGAAAAATCTCAAGAAAAGTTGCAAAAATCTCAAAAAAGCGAATAAATACAGGCCATAAAAATAACTTTGCTAATAGAAAATAAGCAGATACATGAATTTTCAAATATTGCGAAATCAAGGTCGGGTATTGAAAAAAAAACGAAAAAATGGAACAAAAAATTATTGCATATCTGCACCAATTGTTCTGCAAAACTTTGCTGTGCTGCTTTAACTCCTTTTTCTGTTAAAATGACTTCGGTTTTGTGCAAAAGTCACCTAATCAGTAGGAACAAAAGGCTCAAGAGACAAGAGTACTATTCAAGTAGCCTTGAAACATGAAACAGACTCTATAATTGGCGCGAACAAACAATTTTGTTTCATTGTTTCCTTCTAGTATATTGACCTTTCATCTATCAAAACCAAAAGTAGAAGCTATTCGGGTGGCACAAGGTGCATGTGGCAGAAAATAGGTCCAACTCTTTTTTATCATAATTTGAAAGGAATTAGCGCCAAAGTTCAATTGGAATCTTTGGTAGCAAACCAAAGGCCAAGATATTGGTGATAATAAAAAAATTCAATCGTACTCGCACTTCATCGTACTCATACTCAATTTTAAGCCTCCAAATGATGTTTAGGAAAGTTGAAAATAAAACACGGTTGAAGGTAACTTTCTTGTTTATAATTTATGCATTTCAAAAACCGGCTGATATTATTAACGGATGCCAATCTCAAGTGATTCATTGTCATAAATAACGCTTATTATGGAGTAAAATAGCCTACGATTTTGACAAGCAACGTTTTACAGATGAAAAAATAATGATTTGAGGTGCTTGTAAAGTTTAATTTTCGGCCTGAAGTCCCTTCGGCTTGAAGTCCCGTCGGCTTGTTGTCCTAGACCCGTCATTGGTCAAGGGCAGCGAGCCGGCGAATACTCAAGCGGAGAAGCGAGAAACTTACGAGAGTACAAGACGAATCCCAACAAAAGTCAGTTTATGTAGTAACTCGTAATTACTTTTCCGGCAGTTCAGGTTTGCTCGATAGCATTCGAGTGCGTATTTTCTCTTTCGAACAATCAATTAGGCGGAGGGTGGGCATCTTTTGTGATGGCTACATCGTAAATCTTCCAATTGTGATAAACTTGTGACGCAATTTGGCGGCGTACGTACTGCTAAAATTATGAAATTTAGTTAAACTCTTATTCGTAAAACGACGCCCTACAAACCCAACAACAGTAGAGAAGCTTCGAATATTTGCGCAGAAAGAGTTTATCACTCCAAATAAGATCTCACGAACCAAGGTGAACTTCAGTTGAATTGATAAGCCGAGTTGTTTTAAAATGTTATTTGTATGGTAAAAGTGCAATAGGCCGATCAATCAATAAGCATTAATTCTTTCTAAGACAGAAAAAAAACGGAATCAAAAGAAATTCTATAAGTTATTCGTAAAACGGGTTGTCTGTTGATAAATCATCTAGACAAATTTTCATTTTTCATGCTCCGTGAAGTTTTTCGGCATATTGAAACATCTGCCAGCTACTCTGGTGCCATTTGTCTGACTAAGACACGCCCTCAGAATCTACCAAATCAGTACACTTTCTCTCAAAAACCAATTCTCATTATGAATTGATGAGTAAAACTGAAATAGCGATAATTCAGATAAAACTACCAAGATTTCAGCAGTAGTTTTGTTAACCTTCTTTTTATTAATTTTTTCAAGCTCTACTAAAACACTAACAATTAAACAACAAAAATAAACACCTTTTGTGCCTATAAATTCTCTGCACCTTCGGCAATTTTCAAACGAACTTGCTGATTTTTAGACTTTTTGGGTATTTTGAAGCAAGGACTGTTGTTTCGTCTCGAATGACCCACGTTCATTCTCTCTCACATGCAAAGCATTTTCGAACTCAAGGAGGCTCTAGAAGAATTGTGGAACTCGAAGGCTAAAAATTGGGTTGTGACGTAACCAAAAACCAAAAAATGGTATTTGTGACGTAATCCAATAAATTGGGCTCCGTTAACAAAGCAGCGTAGGTACAATTATTGTAGTTCGATATGAAAAGTTGATACCACCTTTTGGAGAACTTGTGATCATATAATTGCACTGTCTGTAAATGATGACTGTCTATATACGATGACTACTGACGCCGACTTTTTTTCTGGGTCAGTCGGGCAAAGAAAACTAATGCAGTAAAAAGATAAGAAACGGTCGAAATATTTTCAGGAAATACCAAAAAAAGTTCAAAATTAATAAAGCGGACACAAGTTTAGAAAGCTCGTAATACTTTACAAAAACCCCCGTTATTCTGTTTTTGAGAAAAAGATACTTTGTTTTCATTGGCAAAAAAAGCTAGAGAACTGAAATTCATGTTGATAACCGCAGCTGCGTCGCTTTCTGATAGCACTAACATTAAGGATAGATCTAAATTGCTGACCCTAAGAAAATTCCCGGCACCGAGAATAAAAATTGAATTTAATTCTAATTCTGGACCACCGTGGGATAAAATGTGGGTTATTGTGGTCGGGAAAGCCTCCAAACCTATTTCATTGTATGGTGTCAGCTGGCTGCATGTGGGTCAATAACTACTTCAGTAGTTGTTCCAACTTCTGAGTAATTTGGTCACAATACGCGCAACCAATAACCTGGAAAACCAATTCGAACGTTTCAAACGCACAGCACCTCATTTTCATTCATAAAATTTGCGCTGCGTTATTTTAGCTTTTTCAAAAGTTTAATTATTAAGATGGTTTTTGAACATAGGACTTTTTAAACTCTGTTTTTTTTGGCGTTATGAACACTCAAATCCAATTTTAGCTGATATCTTTGTTTTAGTTTACTCATCGCCCGATATTCAATATTTTGACGATTAATTGCTCGCTATTCGGTCGCACATGTGCAAATAAACTTTTGAGAATCATAATTCATTAATCCAAATTGGAATTTAACCAATTGTTCTTCTGTCGACGCTTATCTGATCTCCCACTGCAATTGTACTGCTGAATACACACCAACGTAAACTTACCATTTACCGCCTACAGTCAGCCAGCCGCATCTATTAGTCTTTATGATTCGAAATGTCATTAGAACAAGTCACAAACAGCGATAGGTAATCCCCAAGTCCAAGTTGACTATATAGACCTGTCCCTGTACACCGCAACAACCATAGACTCAACAGTACCACGCGATGGTATTGGCAACGCAGTGGCACATCGTAATTGCGAATCAACACGAATTCAGTCAAGTTTATACCTATTAAACCAAGCGCAAATAATCACAAAGTTTATTTGAACTTTCATTTGAAAACAATCTAATTTGTCTACACCTTATCTCCTTTTTAGTGTTCAATCGCACAAATATCCAACTATGACATAATCAATGACATAATCATTGCCTAACAAAAGTTCTTATACTTAATTTTACATCTCCCCTTTTCACGACGTGACCTGTTATAGTTTTCCGGCTATTTAACGGCGTCCGTTTTTGTTTGCTGTTTATCGACTATTGTGTTCATATTCCGCGCGTATTTTTCTATTCTTTCCGATTATCGTTCGTAAATTCTTTGAAGCAGTAAAGATCGACATTGCGGTACCTGTCGTTTTCATTATTGGTAGGTCTAGCCACCAAATGTCAAGAGAATTTCGACCTCTAACCGATTTTACAGTTCCACCGACTTCAGTTTACCGAGCGATTCTTCGAAATAAGAAGCAAACATCTCGAATTTTGCTGCAGCCAGAAGTCGATTCAAAATCGCTTGTTTCGCTTGTTTAAAAAATTAGTCTCGAACCAGTGAATTATGCAATATTACAGTCCTTTTGATGATTTATTCGGCCTAGCAGCGTTGGTGAAGTCATGCGCCAATGACAGCTTGTCGGCAAGTCCACAGTCCGACAACAGTTACTGGAACGAACATGAGCGCGAGAGGTTCTCGGATAGTGAGGGCAGTGTGTTCGGAAGCGACAAAGATCCTGGCTCGCCCACTGGATATCTGACAAGTGGATTGATAATGCATGTGGAAAGTCCAACTTTCGGAAGAACGAGCTCGCCAAAAGAGTTCGAGTTCCCGAGCGCATTAAGCAAGATTCCGCCAGCTGAGCCGCGTTCAAGCCACCGAAATCGCAATCAACGAATTAACTCAGTGCCTGTAAGTAGATCACAACCATTTATGACCTTAACTTATGAAGACTTTCTGAAGAGTTTGGAGTGTATGGGACCGTTGATCACCCCGAACACGACGAATCCGGACGAAAGAAATGCTTCGCCTATCGTCAGCCAGCCTTGCGGAACCCGATATGACGCTACGTTACTCCTCGGAGCCCGAAGCAACTCGCTATCACTAGGAGTTCCCGGAACCTCGGTGATGGAGAAAAAAGTAGGGGCTGCTCGTTACTGCGTGTTCTGTAAGAACAACGGCGAGGAAGAGTATTTTTACAACAATCACGTGCTGAAAAGTGACAATGGAATAATCGTATGTCCCGTTTTGAGGGCATATCAGTGTCCAATTTGCCATGCATCAGGGGATTATGCCCATACTATCAAATACTGCCCGCTAGGAAAAGGAAACGAACACGATTGGCTGAACAATCGCGGCAACCGAAGTCAGGCGACTAGAAACTCGTCTTCAAAAGTTTGAAACAATAGAGGAGCTTTAAAAAGAACCCTCATGATAAATGATTCTGCCAATTCTTGCCATTGCTAGCAATTAGAGGAGCATCGGGGAAAAACTTGTTGCAAACGATTCTAATAATTTCAAACTTTGCGTTTTTGTCTTGTGAAATAAATTCTATAATTACTTGAATATTGTTCTGATTATTTCTTGGTGTCATATCGAAAATATTTAAGGTTTATTTCGGTACTCTATTCGCAGACTTGCAGATTTAAAACTGACTTCAAATTTGGATAATATTTGATTAAATTAATGGAAAATTATAGTCTGAAGGTAATGATAATGATTCGTCGATAAAATGCGCAATATGAGCTGTAAAGCTATTCTAACATTTTGGTTCGTGTTTTACATTACTTAGATTTAAAAATTGCCATTTGTGCAGTAACTTGTACTTTAAATTTCAGTTCACTTTATTATTACCAATTCAAAATTGCGGAAATATGCTTTTGAATGGGTCTCCGAAACCCCCTGAGAATCATACGCACAACTAACTTTATTTAAAAGCGAATCATCGACTTATGGCTCTTTAATGCTATCTCCTGATAAATAAACTTCGGGCTTTTGATCATTTAATCAGTTCCCGCACTCCCAACTATAACATGATTAAGAAAAAAATAACATAAAATAAAATACATCTAAATTTAAATATCAACCACGTTCTATGAGGATAAAAGCTCCAAAATCTTTATAAGAGAATATATTTTTGCTTGATAGCCCATGGTCAGTTTTGCATGAAAATTTTCGCTTTAGAACAAATTTCAACTATTTTGCACATTTTGTCTATACTTGAAAAAATGTTAAGGTAAAATTACCCTAATTGAGTTAAGGTTAAAAAAATTAAGGTAAAATTTACCCTAGCATTACCTTAACTTAAGCTAAAAAAATTATAAAGGTAAAATTTACCCTAACTGAATTAAGGTAATTTACCGTAACTTAACCTTAACTTTAAATAAAAAATATAGGAATGAATTTTACTTAGTTTTTTAAGGTAAATTTTTAAGGTTAATTTACCTATATAATTTTTTAAGGTGTTTCTTAAGGCTGTTACACATTATTTTTTTAAGTAATATACGGTAAATGTTTAAGGTGTTTTAAGGTAAGCTAAGGTGTACTTACGGTAGTGCAAATGTACCTTAATTGTTAAGGTGTTTCAAGGTACTTTTTGAGGCAAATTTGCCTTAACTTTTTTTGGGTGTACTTTTCTAGTGCGTTGTTAGGCTGAGCAAGAGACTCTTTTTGATATAAATTTTTTGTCAATTAACATGGTAACCTTAGCGTAATTCTCAAACTAAAAAAGCCAAAATGACAAATTTTTGACTAATATTTTGGTTCCAAATTTTGCAATAAAAGTGCAGCATGAAACTTGGATAACTTAAGGTGAATGTTATTCTAATCATTCATTATATAATTTTAGCCCAAGTTGAGAAAAACTCGCAGGAAGTTCCAGTATTTAAATCAGCACTAAAAACTCTTGGAAAAAGCGATCGCAGGTAATTTCCAAGAAAATTTCATGCTGAATTGAATATATCGACTTACTGGAAATGAGTTTGATCAATTTTCCGGATAAATTCAATGAGCACTAAAGTTTCGCAGAAAGCGATTGCAGGTAATTTTAAGCAAAAAAATTTTAGTCTAAATTAAATATATATACTCCCTGAAATCATATTTAAAAAAAAACTTTTGCAAAAACTTGAAAAACATTTGTGGGAAGTACCAATTTTTGCCTAACTTGTCCGGATGATTTAAGTCAGCACTAAAACAATTTTGCAAAAAGCGGTCGCAGATAGTTTTAAACAAAACATGTTTTTGCCCAAATAAATATGTAGACTCCCTGAAATCGAATTTGGTCGTACACTTAATCCGTTTATGGGTGGAAACCGATGAAGCAAAACTGTTCCAATTGTCAATGCTAGCAGCAAGTTCTTTTTGAACACCAACAATATTTCTGCCGCTGTCGAAAAGAACGGTCGAGGGAGTGCCGCACCTTGCAAGGAACCTCTCGATATTCACAATGAAGGAGCTTAAGTCGAGAAGTGTAACCGCTTCAATGTGTACCGCTGTAGTTGTGAGGTGACTGAATAAAAACCTGCGTCTTTTCTTAGTTTTTCTGTGTATCGGAACCAAGAACGGTCAGAAGTAATCAACACCCGTAATCAAGAAGGAGGCTTGCTTGTAACCCAACCTGTCAACAGGCAGATCAAACAAAATAGGGCAGACGGTTTTAGCGTTTCGCTTCCGGCATGTCAAACAAATATTTTCTATGTTTCTGAGCAACCAACGAAGCTTCTGATCGTTGAGGTTCAAAATGCACGCATAAAATCCAAGCCTTGATTGAAATGCTTATTAAGCAAATGTCTCGTTTTCAACCAAACCAAAGGGTGGCATGCATCTAATTTTATTATTGGATGCTTACTATCATATTTGGTATCAACCAAACGACTGATGCGCCCAGTCGAGCAAAAAATTCTAGCTGGGCTAATTAAAGGTGAAAACTTGGCAATTCTGTTGTCTTTGCTGAGACGGATAGAAAAATTTTTGTTCCGGCAACTCTATCTCAGCGGGACTGATCATCTTGATAGAGTTTGAGCAGAAGTGTCTGAGCGAGGGCAGCAGATAAAACAAAATTGCCAGAGCATTTTTGTATTTTACAATTGAGTTTACTCGAGTTCCCACAAATTCGATTTAGCCTTCGTGTTTGCCGAGGCCCGCATAGCGCCTATGAAAACGTTTTCGATGCCGAAACTGGAGCTTCAAGCAGCTCTTTCAGGAACCCGTTTGAATGAAGAAAATTTAAAATTGCCCTCTTAATGTTACTGATTTTCTTATGTGGACAGACAGTACCACAGTTCTGCATTGGCTTAACTCGTGCAACAAACTACTTGTCTTCGTTGACAAACTGACAAACGCACTGATGACATTCTGGAGTCTACCACAATTAATCAATGGCAATTTTTACTTAGTGGTGATAACCTAGCTGATACCGGTACACGGAGGATTTCTTCGGAAGCCTTCAAGGAAAGAGCTGGGTTAAAGGCCCGAGTATATCAAAAATTACTCATTATCCTTTCAAACCAGACATGAGGGATATCAGTATGCTCCGAGTAAAATGAAGGTCCTTCGTGTGACACTGACATCTATTTTGAGCTTGCATCTTTCTTTACGGAGTTTTACCGAGGAAAATTACTAAAAACTCAATTGTAAAAGAAAAACTTGATGTGGCAATTTTGTTTTATATGCTGCTCTCGCTCTTATACATCCACTCAAACACCATCGAGATAAAAACCGCAGAGTTAGGTTTAGCGTAACAAAAATGTCTATCTGGCACAGTCTTAGTCGTTCCCCATCGAAATGAGGTTGCTGAATTGTGGTTAAACCATTAAAAAAACACCAAAATTGCCAAATATTTGGGTCAAAACCGTCTACCCTATTATGTTTTGATCTGCCGGTCGACAGGTTGGGTTACAAGCAAGTCCTCTCTGTATTATGGGAGTTGGATACCTCGGTTTATTCTAAATTCCGATACGCAGAAATACTGAGAAAAGATGGGGGTTTTATTCACTTGCCTCATGACTACAGCGATACACATTGAAGCGGTTACACCTCTCGACTTAAGCTCCTTCATTATGAATATCGAGAGATTCCTTGCAAGGTGCGGCACTCCCTCAAAGTTTCTTTCCGAAAGCGGCACAATTTTTGTGGGTGATCAGAAAAAATTTGTTGCTTGCATTGAGTTATGGAAAAACTTACTCTATTGATTTCGCTCACGAAGTGACTAATTGGAGATACAATCCACCTT